ATCAAAAAATGTAAACTGTAAGTGTGCAATAAACCCTATCAATAGGTTAACCAGTCTTTAAAACAAAAATGGTATGCTTTAGGGGTGCCTGGGTCGCTCAGTTGGTTAAGCGTCCCTCTTTGGCTCAGGTCATGATCAGGGTCCTGGGATCAAGCTCCCCATTGCATCAGGCTCCCTGCTCAGTGGGGAGCCTCCTTCTCCCTCTCTGTTTGCCCCTCCCCCTGTGGTGTACGTACTCTGTCATATAAATAAATAAAATCTTTAAAAAAAAATGGTATGCTTTACTACATTAGTGTAAAAGGAAAAGAAAAATGGATAGTGTATTATTTGATGAAATTTTATCTTGCCTGTCAGATTAGATGTAATAAATCTACGGGCTTACAAATCACAAGTAATTGGAAAGGGCATAAAGGTCTTGAATAATTTGAAAAATAACCTCATTAATAAATAAACTTATTCATTAGGTGGTTGGGTAAATCTAAGCATTTAATCCAGAATTCCAGAAGGCAAGCCACAGACTCAGGATTCCAGTCTTATTTATGTTAGGCAGTGACTTTGACATTTATAACATTAGAATCTAGGGCACTGATAGAGGTTGTATGGATAAAGAATGAAAAGTTATTACATAAGGTTGCCTTGGTTACTCCTTGAACTGTTCAGAGAAACCCTGACTAGGTTAGGAAAAAGGATATAGTTGATAGACTATAAGAATGCAAAAATCCGATTCTATTCCTAAATAAAAAGCCTTCTAGCTAAAGTGATTGGGGGGTGGTTAAATAGTAACTATAAAACACTACCTCCTACTTAAAAATTGCACTACTAAAAACCCTAGATGAAAATACTTCTGATGATTTAACTTTTGGATGAAATTCATTAACTCTAATACCTGATTTCATAGTTTCTTTTGTGTTTAATCTCAGTGTACATATTAAAATGAACTTTGTTTCCATTTACTTCTTTTGGAATTATCTCCCAACTTCTAAAAACCATTTATTTAAGACCATGTTTTAAAATCATATGTTAACTATGATCTGCAGTATAAACGGATCTGAATCATTCATAGTTTATTTAGGAGCATGAGTCATGTAATTTACATAAGGAAATTAGGAAATCTTCAGAAAGGGAAGTAACAAGATAAAAGCCTCAAGTTTTAAATGATAGTCAAATTCATTCAAATATCAATGTATCAATTAGGTAGAAAATATGCTAAATCACAAGAGAACTTTTTTTTTATTTCAAAATAATGTATTCAGGATAATACAGGTCCAGTTTAAAAATATTAAAGGTTAAGTTTCCACATTTAAAAAGAGACCAAATCTGTAACTGTAAACTCTAGCACTTAGTACTTAGTCATGACGGCCATATATTCAACAAAACATTTTACATACAGAAATTCTAACATATACTGAAACTATTTTCACATTTTCCTACTTTGGTTTTTTTTTTTCCTCATTTAAAAAAATCATACAAATACTTTATGGAATGACTAGAGTAGACAATAGAGGAAAAGTACTGTGAATATAAATATGAAAAAAAAATTCTGCTATCAATTAATGTTCTCTGTTATGGAGAAACATTCCTTCAAAAGTGCTAATATTTTCCTTGCAAACAGTGGCAGAATATATTTAAATATTAGATAAACCACTTGGTTGAAAAATCTTGCAAGATAAAAAGTGACACATCTTAACAATTCCAGGTCATTAAAAGGCTAATTTATATGTCAATACACAGATGATATTCCTCTATCCTAATAGATACACATAACTTTGAGTATACGTAAATATTCAGATTCTGGCTACTATGAAATAGTACAAAGATTTTTTTATATTTACTGTAACAAAAACACTCTTTAGACAAGAGAAAGATAGCGGTTTTCTATAATTCTATTTAAACCTGACAACTTAAAGGGTATGTGTGTGTATACGTGTGTGTATGTGTGTATGAAAAGGGGATTCAGAAGTTTGCTTTTTTTTTTTCCTTTAAGTCCTTTAAGTAATGACAGAAGTAGAAGCTAGGTTTTATCTCAAAGGAAAAACCAGAGGTGACATTCCTGCGCTTTGGGTTTAAAACCTTTCTTAAAAGGCTAGCCTTGCTATGCATTTGTTTTCACTATCAAGTTGAATTTCAGCTGGAAGAATTAAAAAATAACTATTAATCCAAAAGTATCCTTCCAGAATTTCTACAAGGAATTACATTAAATCAAACCAAACTACAGTTCTGGGAAGATCAGACTTAGTAGGAGAGCACACAGTATGGAAATTTACCCCCACCTTCATCTGGGCTACACAAAGTATCTGTGTCTTATTAACTATATACTTCAGTCGATTATGAGACTATTTCTTTACACTGCAGCATCTTGATAACCTGCAGTGTTGGTTTCGTTTCACACAAAATTGCAGTACTAAATAAAATCTGGTCACAGTAGCAGATGTCCAGTTTCCCACTGTATTGGAAGGAAGGGTTTACATTTAAGGTGAGCCCTGTTTATAAACATTGTGTACGAAGCAAAACAACCTCCCCCTCCTGCGAAAGACTGAAAGCTCTCAAACGCTCCCCGCAAAAAAAACCAAAAAACAAAAAACAACAACAAAAAAAAACCACTTTTGATCAAAATCAAAATCAGAATACTGAGATTTTAATATTTTTTAAAAAATCACCTAATTTAAATGCATTTTGTCAAAAGTATTCCACATTCTTAATAAAATAGAGCTATTTTAATAAAGCATTATATTCTTATCAAAACTTTATCATAACATTTAAATGATGTGTAAAAAATTGCATATTTTTCATTAAATTTTATAGGCTTTAATAAAAAGGTGTATTCCTGCAACTAAAGAAAATACATACTTAAGGCATTTTTCTTTTAATGGCTTAAGGGCACACACAGTTCAAGCTCCCCACCTAAAACTTGGTCTTACTAAATCTGATTCATCCAAGCCATGGATGGATCACTCATCCTAAAAGTCCTCCTTTCAAATGCCCCCTTTTCTTTGAAGCTGTGTGCCTATGCCGGTAGACAAGAGCTAGTCTCTTCTGTGTATTCCTAGAGCCTTTTTAGCCTCTCTCTCACATCATCCACACGTCAGTATGCCTTGAGGACTGGTGTGTACTTGACGGGTGTCTCTCCTCTACTAAACTGTATAGTCCTCTGGATGGCAGTTCAGTGGCATCTGTCTTTGCATCTGAGCAGACCATTACACACAGTAGGCGCTTAGTGTCTGATGAATGAGGGGAGAAAGGGAGAACCCAGCACAGAGCTGAACACTAGGTGCCCAACTATGGTGTGGCTTTTTCTCCCAAAGTTCACTTTAAAAGAAGGGATGCTTACTTGGAACCATAAACAGATAAACATCAAAAATATAAACTGGTTTAAATACAGAGAAATAATACACTTAGAGCAAGAGGCTCTTAAGAATGGTTAAAAGCAACAGAAACATGCATAAAAAGGAGACATTTAGTTTTTTTTTTTTTTTTTTGGTCAAAATGTCCCTCAGTCATTGTAACTTATTTAGTTTAGAAGTAGTTAAAATTTCACATATTAAAACACGTAGATTCGGTTAGAGAGAAAAGGCTTTCAGAGATTACTTAAAATAATGAGTTAACAGTGCAAATACTGGGTTGCTTCATGAGACTCTCATCTTGTGATTTTCTGCCCCCTTCAAAGAGAAATTGTAAAACCTCCAGTTTTAACACAAACAGAAGATAAATACCTATGAAGGAAAACAAATTCCACAGCATTCCATACAGATTTCCAAGCAGTCCGATGATTCACAACAGGCATCCATGATGCCACAGTCCATGTCACAAGGGCAGTTACAGTCGTCCCCCATCTCGTCTCCACAGCAACAGCAGCAGGCTTCTGAGGTGCAGATGCCACAGGAAGCCTGGCCCAGGACAATATTGCAGAGGGTGAGGAATTCACAGAACAAGCAGGCCAGGATACAGTGGACACAGCAATCTTCATTGTCAGTTGGGAAGAGACCATGTAGTGAGGAAAAAAAAAATGAACACAAATAGAGAAATCATCAATGGGCTGAATGATAAGAATTGATCAAAATAATCCAAAACCCCATGACATGCAGTCTCATAAGCCTTCCCGTGGGCTGGAAGCTCACAAAGAAGCTTAAATTTTAGGAGAGCCATCTTTAGAAGTCGATATTGCATTCAGAAAACAACCAACCAACCGAAAAGGTGGTGGTGGGGTGTGGGTACAGATGTGTGCATGTGGGTGAGATTTTGTTATTCTCACACACTGTACAGTGGTTTTAGTCCTTTGTTCTACTGCTCTGTGCCTCTCACCCATCTTCCCTACATCCTATTGCTCTCCATCACACAGGCTAAACACTTCTGTGACCTCGCAGTCCTTTAGAAATAGACATTTGACTGCACCACCCACCTGCTCCCAAACTGGAGGAAAAAATATTCAGTACGATACATTCAGTAGATTACTGAGCTTTTCCAGGATTATACTGTTATCATGGTTTGTAAGATAACTGTTATAAAGAGCTAGATTTATTATCCTATGAAGAAAATAGAGTTACCTTTCAGAAAGCCAGTTCTGTTCAATATGCCTTCACAGAGATATGAGTACTAACTAGTTCTAACACTTGTGACCTTAACTTTCTACTTCATTGGGAACACTGCTATTTCAAGGCTGAAAGGGGAATCTACAAAAACTCACTTGATGTTGAAGAACCTTTAACTGAGTATTCTTAAAGCCCTAAGAATCTTGTTGAACATAAGATTCTTTATATGTTAATCACAGGATACATCATATACAGAACTATCCGTATTGGATCTATCAGTTTCAAGGGGGGAAAGAATGGCCATTCCACCCAGCCTGAGAAGGACATGCTTACATCTTTGAAGCCTCCTTTGGTCCCTTCCTATGTAAAGCTCCCTCTTCCACAATATAATCAATGTCTTGAATTTTGACTAAATCTTTCCCTTACTTTGCACTATACTTTTCACAACAGTAAATGTGGAAACATCCCTTAGTAGCTCTCAGAAAGGATAAAGGTACCTTCTGGATTCCTGTGAGTAGCATTTTTTGCTCAGTACTGTGTATTTCCCCTCCAGGATCCTGTTGCTAAGTTCACTTGTTTTCCAGGTGTAGAGTATCCCAATTGATTAAATATACCATAATTAATTTATCCATACTATTTGTGAATATATTTGTCATATCCAATGTTTTTGCTATTCCAGACATTACTGTTTGGAATAGTTTTGTGCAAGTGTCTTAGAGCTCCCATGCTAGGTCACTGGCAGAGCTCTGGGCTCACAGGATATGCAAACTTGTTTCCAAAAACACTGCTTCCTCCAAAATGTACTCCCCGCAAACCAAGCTTAAGAATGCTCAATATCTATATCTTCATCAATCTTGGAGATTGTCCTGCCTTCATTAATGCCAGCTGAGTGTGAAAGGGCATCTCATGGTGGTTTTACTTTGCATTTATATCTTCACTAGTAAGTCTAGACATATTTTTGTGTTTCCTCTTCTTTGAAACAGGTGTTCAGGCCATTCAAGTTCCCCCTCATTTTTCTAATTAAGTTACATGTTTTTTTTCTTACTGATTTGTAGATATTTAATTTAAATATCAGTCCTTTCTCAAAAATGACTATCTGCTCTCAGTATGTGGCTTTTTTAAGGTAAAAATAAAATAACAAGAGACAGATGAGTTAATTTTTAGACCTTGAGAGTTTAAAGTAATAGATAAATCTGAATCAAATCTTACAGTTAGCTAAAGGTATGGGATTGATTACATGGCTGAGGAGGCATTAATAAGATTCGGTAGCAGAATGAAATAAAAAGTTTTAATGCCTGATTCAAAAGAAGGGAGCCCAGCCATGCCTACACAGAAAAAAAGAGGAAGAAACCAATAATCAGGAGGGGAGAGACTGAATGTAATTGTTAAGAAATCAAGAGCCTGCAGGATAAAAAGGGACAGGAGTGACATTCCAAACTAAACAGTTAATCGCCACTCACAGGACCTATCCATTCACCGGAAATTAAAAGCTCTTCCAGATTTTAGACAATGACAGTTGTCATACAGAAATGAGAAGCCCTACACCCAGAGTAGGATCTGTCCAAACTCCTACTTTAAGCCAACAAGATTCACAAATTAAAGTCTATTAAACTATTTTTAGTAAACAAAATGAAAAAGTTCTTCGCTGCCAAGAGATCAAACACTCCTTTCTAGACTCTCTTCTATAACAAAATGTGATTTTTTTCCCCAAAATGTGGTTTCTATAACAAATAGGTATGACTGGTTGTTTTTCATAGAATGGAAAGCCTAGTGTTAATGAAGGAAAATTATTTATTTGCTGTTTTCAGAATTAAGAAATACGTTTTTTAGGAGAGAGATGTTTTCATCACTATTTTTTTAAACGATTTATTTTTAAGAGAGAGCACGCACAAGCAGGGGCAAGGGGTAGAGGGCAAAGCAGACTCCCCACTGAGCAGGGAGCCTGATGGGGGGACTCGATTCCAGGACCATGACCTGAGCTGAAGGCAGATGCTCAACCATCTGAGCCAGCCAGGCACCCACACCATTTCATTTTTTTAAAAACTATTTTAGATACTTACTTTGTACTAAACTCTGTGTAAGGCTCTTTCCAAATATGAATTCCCTTAATTCTAATAATATGTTCAAGAAGCAGTACTGGTATGATCCCCATTTTACCAATATAGACTTAGAGGAATTTTAGAAAATTCGCCCCGAGTCCTAGAGGCCGGCTGCAGAGTCAGAGTGAGAAGCCACGCGCCTCGCCAGAATGGGCCAGCCTCGAGCCCAGCATGCTGGGCTGACCACAGGGGTGGAGCACTCGGTTCATCTTCCTTGGGGGAAGATCAGTTATAAATCCAAAACTTTCTGATTTGTCTTGATCTGTTTTTAGCCTTGATTCATGTTCCTTTCCTTTCTAAAGATGAGTCTGAATCTCACTTTTAATGAAGAGTTGGTAGTAAAGGCTATAACCCTCAACGAGAGCAAAGTTGATGAGTAGGAGACCTCTGATACGCAGCCGGTCACGCTGTGGAGATAGGAGACGGTAGGCAGCCAAGGGAGAGCGTGTCTCAGAAGAAACAAATCTGTCAATTGAAAGGATAAAAGTTCAGGTCCATCCTTACCTGCACAAAAGCAGTGAATGGATGACATAGGAATTCTGGTCAAACACAGTCATGACACAGGTCTCAAAAGAAGAAGTTCTTTATATAAATACTAAAACTTACACAGACACAAAAAAGACATTATCTTAAAACACCGGTTCTACATCATTTACTTGGAAACCACTCTGGGCTACTCCGAAAAACCAATCAATTCAAGGACACCTAAAAAAAGCCACAAACCAAAACACAGTTCAGAGAGAAGAGTGATACTAACCAAGGTGCATCTGTACAGACGGGGACCACAGACACAGTCATTATCTGTCCTTTAGAAGTAAAGAACTACCTAGGTACGACGACAACAAGAAGATCCCTAAATGCTCACTGATCAGTTTTTCTTTTTAGTTGTGCTCTAGAAAGGGCAGTTGGATCACGTGGTGACCTGAGGTAAGGAAGAGGTTAACGTAAGGCCAAAGAGCTGACAGTTTCTGCCGAGGTCACCCCACCCCCTTCAGGGGAATCAACAATCACAAACAGCATTACCACGCTGGTTTTATTTGAAGCAAAGAGAGGATTAGAAGTATTAGCCAACTAAGAAGACAAAAGAAGAGGAGTCCTCTGCATTGATGTAGTTCACAGTCAGAAATAATTATTTTCCCCCCTGTTCTTGAGGTTTTTCATTTTTCTGGTTTTATTCAGTCATATTTGCAGTTTTTGCCAAAAGTATTTAACCTCTGAGAAGCCAACTAGGTTCTGGGAAAGATGCCTGTCTCAGACTGGGCCAAGCAAGAATTGCACAATTCGGTGTACTACTGAGAGGGGAGCTCAGCGCAAGACTGACAGCTACTGTAAACTGAGGGAAACAAAGGAACACACCAGCAGCCAGCAGCCACAAGAACCCGTAAAAAGAAAGCTTCAGCACAATATTTGATTAAAAGAAACCAAAACCGTTACGAATGACTGCAGACAACAAACCCAAACAAAATCTTTTGAGTCCTGTGAAAGGTCATCTATCTGGAAAGCATCGAGCTGTCCCATGCCATGAAGGTAACACCGGAAACCTAGATAACCAGCATCCTTAGATGACTGGTAGAAGCCTCTGTGACTGGTCCAAGGGCCTTGGTTTTGTTTAAGATGAGACTGGAGGCTCATTTTTAGAAGAACAGATTAGTTTAATAAAGAAATCCCAAATTGATTGACTCGATCCTATGTGACCCAAAGTGCTTATGTCAGATTGATTGGCCCAATCCTATGTGACCCAAGGTGCTAAGAAAATACGAGGGAAGCAGTTACAGTGAACAGACTACTGACTTAAGAGCCATCAGAAAACCATGTGCACCCTAAACTCTGCTCTGTTCTAAGGGAGCCTCTTAAATTTCTTTGGTTTTCTTTTTTTTAAGATGTGGTAGGACAGGTGCTCTGAATTTCTTGGAACAGAGACCCCAAACAGCAGAGTACTGGGAAGCACAGAGCAATGAATTCTGAGAATAACCCACAAACCATTTCTGAGTGCACGCAGATTTGTATGTGTTTTATCTCATCTCTAATAGCATTTCCTATGACTTAGACGCTTGAAACGACTTTCTTAATCAGGTCCCCAACAAGCAAACTGTATACGGAGAAAAAGAGGTTACCATTTGTAACAGACTGACAGTGTGCCAAAAAGCAACTGCAGACAAAAATATAAGCAGTCAATTATGCATAATTAGTAATTTAGGAAATTGCACAGAGATCAAACCTGACTTTATGACCAAAGCTACAGAGAACCCACAGGTGTCGCCATGTCTTTAAGCTGCTAAGGCTCACATCTGCCCGGTGGGGGTACAAAGGGGCTCATTGTACAGGGGATGCCTAATTGGGTGGAGGCCTTCTTGTGCCCAGACGCAGCTTCACTGCGACCGTTGTTTCTCAACGCAAAATCAGAAAGCAGGCTAGAAGTGGGGTTTAGTAATCCTGAATCACAGCCAGGAGAGCTAAGTATGTGGCCTCTGTGAAAAGCCAGCTGTGAGGGATGAGACACAGACATCTCCAGGGAGTTCTGCTCAAGTGTATTCGGGGGCAGGAACTATTTACTAATACAGCACGGTAGCTCAGCTCCAAGGAGGCCTGTGTCTCCAAGCCAGAGGACACGCAGCATCTGGCCTACAGCCCTAGGATGACCTGCCGCCTGCATAAATTGGCCCAAAGTGTCCCTCCTACCCAGAACTCTCTGGCACACTGCTGTCCCCGTGAGGCCATGCTTCTCAGCCAGAACACAGTCAACATTTTCCTAGTAGGGAAGAAAGTGAGTTAGGTCAGGAGGTAAAAGAAAAGAGCTGTATTTTCCACTGCAGTACAGAGAAGACCACACTTAGGAAAACTGAACAATTATCTTTACTATTATCTTTCCTCTCAGCAAACTCAGAACAACCTTGGAAAAAAAATATAAAACCGTTCTCCCACCTCCCACAAAGGGACTCCTTGATTTTCCTCCCGCATGTCCAAATTCTGGATTCCATCTTGCACCTATGGGAAGTGCATTTGCATTTTAAATTACACTTAAGTGAATAGCACAGATTTTTTTTTCTTCTCTTACTCATTTATCTTGCTGCCTGTTCCGTGTCCGATTCATTAAATATTCCAAACTCTGAAGGATTTGATCCAGTAATTGTTAGTCAAGACTTAACTGTAGCACTGAGTCACGGAGTCCTTTCTGAAGAGTCGCATCTACTAAGTCTAGGAACACAGCCTTTTATTTTATTTAAAGATTTTATTTATTTATTGGACAGAGAGAGAGATCACAAGTAGGCAGAGAGGCAGGCAGAGAGAGAGGAGGAAGCAGGCTCCCCTCTGAGCAGAGAGCCCAATGCAGGGCTCGATCCCATCACCCTGGGATCATGTCTGAGCCAAAGGCAGAGGCTTAACCCACTGAGCCACCCAGGCGCCCCGGAA